CAGAGGTGGCGCTGCCCAGCCCAGTCCACCTCTGACTTTGCTGGACTCAGGCAATGGCATCTGGTGGGGTGGTGGGGTGAGGGGGTGGTGGGGTGGAGGGGTGAGGGGGTGGCAGGGTGGCGGGGTGAGGGGGTGGCGGGGTGAGGAGGTGGCAGGGTGGCGGGGTGGTGGGGTGGCAGGGTGGATTTGCTGTAAAATGAATAAAGCTGATGCTTCAGGGCCCCTCACTTGCCTCGCCCCTTTCCAAAGCCTTCTTCCCAACTGTGTACTCCAGATCCCTTCAAAGCATATAAGCTTCAGACCCCACGGCAGTGGGACCCATCTTGTTTCCACTCTTACCCAGCTTGGGATCTCAGAGCCCTCCTCTCCTGTCAAGCAACTCCTCTCCCCCACTGCTGGTCTGGGGCTTCTTAAGCTGCAGGCCCTGCTGAGGTCTACACAGCTTCTTCCCTCCTACAAGACCACCCCAGGCCTTGCTTCGTGGCTTACAGTCCACTGAGTCCAAACAATCGGATTACTCCCCCTCCTCGCACGCCAGCCCTGAGGACCTCTCAGGAATGCGTCGGACAGTTTGCAAACCCTCAGCTCACAGACCTAGGAGAGGCCTGAGTTCAAATCCTACCCTGTGCCTGGCAACCATGTGTCCTGGGTACCACCCTCTCATCCTACAAAGACTTTCCCAGTACACAGGGAGGTTAGGGAAGGCTGGCCCAGCCCAGCTCAGTACTAAGGGCAGGGGCATGACTCTATGAGACCCTTACACAGGCCAGGTCCCTTGGGCAGGCAGGAGGCCACCCACGGTGGAGATCCCCTGGGTGGGGAGGCCAAGGCTTCTCACCGGTCACCCTGACCCCGCCACAGGCCTTGGAGATTCTTCCTCAGTGAGATGTCCACTCACTGGGGCAGCAGATGGCCTCCGAATCTCCCCAAGTTCCCTTGGGGTCCTCCTGATCTGGAGCCCTCTTGTCATTTTTAGTTCCTGAGTTTTGGGGGTCTGTGACCTCCAGGACTGCTGTCATTTGGATTTTCTCAGAAGCAAGCCTGGGCTGTGGCCTCCGTCCTGACTCTTGGGCAAGACTGGAAGTTGTGATGGGAGATGGTTGGGGTGCGGGGGAGCAGGATGGAAATGGGGGTGGTGAGGGGAGGCAGGGACTTGTTTTGCAAGCCCTGTGATTGCCTTGAGATGAGAAAGCACTTGTGTTTGGGAGGTCTGGTAAGGATCACAAAGTCCCCTCTGCCCGCGGGAGACAGCACAGCACAGGGCAAAAAGCCAGGGCTTTGTCATCACATGCCTGGTTCAAATCCTGGCTACTCACTTCCTGGTGTGTGACCTGGGAAAAGTCACTGAACTTCTGCGAGCCCCAGATTCACCAACTATAAAATGGGATGAGGTTGAGAGCAAGCACACAGACGGGGCTCGCTGTATGCCAGACGCCAGTGCTGGCAGCTCATTTTGTCCTCACTGCAGCAGCCCTGGGAGGCAAGTTTCCTTTTTGTGCCCAAATTATAGGCCTGTGGGGAAGAGCAGATGAGGATGTGCTTGGCAAGTGCTCAGAACAGTGCCTGGCAGGTAGTAAGGCCTCCATCAATCTTGGCTCTTAGGATGCCATGGGATTGCTGGGGTCCAGAGAGCTGGTCGGCTTAGCCAATCCCCTGGGGGACAGGTAGAGTCCGGTGACAGCAACTGAGCACCCACTCTGTGCCAGGCCGGGGTGTGCCACTCCGAATAAGGCATCTCAGGCTCATCAGAGCATCTCTGAGTCCACTCAGATGCTTGGTTAGAGCTAGGGGGCGCTGTAGGGCAGAGAAGGCTCTGGCTGGGGCGAGGGTGAGGTGGAGGGTTGAGATGCAGCTGCTAGGCGTGCCTTGTGGGGCTGCCCAGGGGCCAGACTATCCGAGTACATGTGCATGTTGGTGGGTGACTGTGAATCCCTGCAGTGACTCTAATTCATCAAACACCTCACAGTGCACCTCTGGACCTGGCACTGCAGTGTAGCTGTTGGCCGGGGTCAGGATCCCGGCTCTCGTGGTCAGCTGTGGCGCCCTGCTGTGTCTCCTCTCTTCTCTGTGCATTGGTTTTTCATCTGGAAATGGGGTTAATATCAATGTGCATTTTGTAGAGCGGTCAGTACCTGGCTCATAATCAGCTCCACTTGGGCTCTTCGATGGCTACCGCTCATTTGGGACACCGAATGCTCCCACTTTTGAACAAGACAGACAGTAGAGACTGAAAGCAGGGTGAGGAGTGCAAGATGAGTGTGATCAGGGTGCCAGCAGGACAGGACCAGGCCTGATCAACCCCAGGACAACAGGAAGACTTCCTAGAGGAGGCAGTGTGTATTCTAAAGGCCAGAGGGGGCTGTGAGTGTTGTGCCAGGAGGGGCCAGAAGTGGGTGCCTGTGCGTGAGGTTATGGTGCTGTGAAGAGAGACCCTGACTATGTGGGGATGTGGCTCCAATGCACAAGGAGGCCTGGGGGAGGGTGATTGTGCAGACGCCCATGTGTGTGAGAGCAGGCAAATGTGTGCACTGTTGAACCCCAGGGAGACCCGCGATGGTGGGAGCAAGATAAGAAGGACCTTCAAGGGCCCAGACCTGTCTCAGTTCTGGCTGTGACCAGTGTCTTTGAAGAGCAGCAGGTGGCGCTCCTGGCCTATCTAGGCCAAAGAATCTCCACTGCCCCCCCACCCAACTCCCCCAGCCCCAACCTCCACCCTAGGATGTCAGGGAAGTGGGGTTGCTGCTTCCAGAAGTTTCAGAACTGTCAGGAACCTCTGAAGATGGGCCATGCTCACTGCCCACCTTACTCATGGAAATCATCCTAATGGTCTCCCTGCTAGATAGTTTTCTGATCCTTGAATATCTCTCAAGACAGGGTACTCACTACCTCTTTAGAACTGCTACTGTTGTCTGTGGCCAGCTGACATCTGGCTCCTCGTAATCCCCACTTTAACCCTGCAGGCCCTTTCGGAGCTCCTCAGGACTGGTCTGTTCCTGGGGTCTACTCGGCCCCTCTGAAAGATGATGTTGTCCCTACTTTATAAGCCTCATCCTAGCCACCTTTGTCAAGCTCCATTGCCATGGCAGGGAAGAGCTCATGTAATCCTGACAACCTGGCACCTGGCCTGGCACACAGCAGGCATTCAATTTATATTTGCTAAATGAATCAATGAATGAACTCTGTGTGGTCGGGAAACTGAGGCTCAGAGATGTTAAGTCACACATCCAACACAACACAGCTCATAACTGGCAGAACTGGGATTGAACCCAGCACCTGCCTTACCCAGAGCCAGAGCTCTCCAGGTCCAAGCTGTGCTACCACAACAGAAACCAGCTTCCCACCTACTGCACCCCATCACCCTCTCCCATGGTGCCAGTCAGAATTCCAAAAAAATTGGAATGGAATTTTCAGAGGCTGGGACTTCAGAATTTCTAGTTGGAAAGTCTCCCTGTCTTTCCTCTCTAGGATTCCTGTCTAAGGGTGGTGAGCTGGCCTTACATACTCTGTAGGGACGGGGCTCTCCCTCCCTTACGGGGAACCCCTTCTAATTCATCTCTACTTTATGTTGAGTTGATCTTTTTCTGGTTCTCCTCCCAAGGGCCCTGCAGGACAAGTTCAGTTCCCCCCAACACCAAAAACCCATGGCTGGTCCTCCAGAGTCTCTTTCCCCAGGCCTGCCCCTCCATTCAGCCTGGTTTTGGTTCCTCTTTCCTCGAGGGAATTGTCACAGTTTCCACTCAGTTTCATTCCTGTTTCCTCATCGCAGGCCCTAAGCTGGGTGCTGGGACACAGGGGCCAGAGAGGAGAGTGGGTGGAGGTAGAGACACCCAGCCAGCTGTTATCAGCAAACAACCTCTTCTCGCTGACTCTCAGCGACCCCATCTAAGAAGTGGAGATGTTGACAGCACCGACCGGATGGGGTTCCTTAGAATCGAGATAACACATGAAAGCGTTGGGCCCCTGGCATAGGGTCAGGGTTCAAGAAATGTTTGACTCTCCCCCGTCTTCCCCCAAAACTATTGGATGGGGGTGAGCCCCAGTAAGTGGGAAACACATCAAATGATTAACGCTCAAAGTTGAATTGAGCATCGACGTCATGCCAGGCCCTGTGCTGTGTTGGGGACATACACAAACCCCTGCCCCCACTGGGGCTCACGTGCCGTTGGAGACTTGGGTAAGTAAGTACAGAGTGGGGTGTGCCGCTGGGGATGAAGGCAAAGGGGGAAAAGTCACCGTGACCGCACAGGGTCGAAAGACCAGCAGCGGCAGAGACCGCCACTCAGACATACTGTTTTCACCACCCTGCACTGCAGAGTGTGGTCCCACTCTACCATGGGGGATCCGAGTCTCAGAGAACCGGGGGCCTTGCTGGAGGCGCACAGATGGCGAGGAAGCAGCTGGCCCTCAGGTCTGCCGTGGCTTTTCCTCTGCAGATCCCAGCGACAGGGCCCAGAAGTGAACACCCCCATGGTGCCCTGGGGAGACAGGCCCAGAGAGGGCCGGGCCTGATCTGAGTTCACACAGCCCCTGGGTGTCCTGGAGACGTGAAAGCCCGTGGTCTTGGATGACCTCTGGCCCACTGGGTGGACTGGCTGAATGTGTGAATGTGGCAATGGGAGTCCAGGAAAAGACACGTGCGTGGAGCCCCACGGGGCAGACTGTCGATGAAAACGCCCCTGCCAGCCCTCCGCTCCGAGCCTCAAGGGAGCCAGGCCCGGGCCCTGGCACCCCACGCGGGACCCTTCCCTTCCCCCCGCCACGGCGGCCGCCGAGGTGCGTCCAGCCGGCTCCGCGCCCTCCAGCCCCGGGCTCGGCGAGGCCGGTGCCCCCTCGGCGGCGGGCGGCTCCCTCCGGGCCGAGGCGGGGGCCGGGCCTGGGGCAGGAGGGTGCGGAGCCCGCGGGGGGCGCACTGGCCCGCCCCGCCCCGGCCCCTCCTCCCGCTCCGCCCGCGCTGGGGGCGGCCCGGCGGCGGCGGCGGCGGCGCACGCTTCCTGCGGGCGCGGCCGCTGTGGGCGCGGAGCTGCGAGGCGGAGCCGGGCGGCCGAGCCGGGAGCCCGCGAGCCGAGAGCGCGTCGGTCCAGCCGCCTGGCCGCGCCGCCCGCCGCCGAGCAGCCGCCCCGCGCGCCGCGCCTCGGGAACAAAGGCGCCTGCCCGCCGCCCGCGACGCCGCCATGAAGCCGGGGCCGCCGCACCGCGCTGGGGCCGCCCACGGGGCCGGCGCCGGGGCTGGGGCCGCGGCCGGGCCCGGGGCCCGCGGGCTGCTCCTGCCACCGCTGCTGCTGCTGCTGCTGGCGGGGCACGCCGCGGGGGTGAGTGACACGCGCCCGGACCCCCGCCACGGCCCCCCGGTCCCCGCCCGCGACCCCTGCCCCGGGACCCCGCTCCCTCCCCCCCGGGCTGCCTACCCCAGGCCGCGGTCCCCGCCGCCCCTCGCCCCTCCCCCGAGCGCCCCTCTCCCATCCCTGACCCCCCCCGGAGTTCCCCGCTGGCATCCGCGGGGACAGGCCGCCCCCGCCGCCGGTCATCTTCGGGGGACTCATCTCTCCTTCCTTTTGGGACCCCTCCCCAGAGGGAATCCCGGGCGGGAACCCGAGCGCGGGTCCCTCTTCCCCACCCCCCAGTGGCTCCGGGAACTGCCTCCTCGGAGAAGGAGCGGGGACCCCTGCGCTGGCGCGGGAAGGGCCCGGCGGCGGGCTGGGGGGTCGCCGTCCCGGCTGGGTGTGTCTTGGGGTGGGAGTGTGCCTGGCTTCTGCCTCGTGGGTATGGCCAGACCGCGGCCACTTTTTGGAAATCGGGTCGGTTCCCCCTCTGAGGGAAGGATGTGCATTTGGTTTTTCCCAGGGTCGCGGCAGCCGGCCCCTCTCAGAGGGGGAGGTGGAGGTGGAGGGTGACTTGGTGAAGGTGACCTGAGGGGGGAGTGAGGGTGACCCTGTGTGTGGGCGTCTGTGGCACCTCAGTGAGGGGTGCGGGGACCTGTGGGGCGTGTGCAGGTGGAGGATGTGTCTGCCACATGGGTGGGTGCCAGTGTGCCCTCCCATTGGTGGTCGTGGGAGGGTGACCCATTGTGCGTGATGTGTGCCTGTGTCCGGCTGGGCCACTGTTGGCCATGGCTGTGTGTGCCTGCAGTGGGTGAGTGTGTGTGTGCGAGAGACCTCTGTGGTGGGCGTGTGCTTGGACCCATGGGAGTGTGTGTGTGTGTGTGAGTGCACACACCAGCATGTGCATGCAGGTGCTTGGGTGACCCTGGGCATGGGACAAGGACCCCTGAGGGGGACCATGTGTGTGCAAGTGGTGGAGAGGGTGTGCATGAGGTGACCCTTTAGTGTCCCTTTGAGTGACCGCAGCCGATTGGTCCCAGCTCCATCAGGGAGGGCAGAGGAAGGAAGGAGCTCAGCCTCCTTTGAGGGACCCAGGTCCCAGGTGAGTTCTTGTTGGGTGTGTGTCCAGATCCTGGCTCAGGCGGGCTGGGGATTTCTAGGTCCAGCCTCCCTGGTTGGTTCCAGGAGCTATGCTGTCCTGCATTCCCTCCAGGCCTCTCAAGCAACCCTGGGTGCCCAGCTGGCCTGTGCAAGTCCCTTCCCTCTTCTGGCCTCAGTGGACCAGTCACTAAGGCAGGAGGAGGACAGGCAGGGGCTCCAAGCCTGCTTCTTGGATGGACAGGCCCCTCCTCAGCCTTCCCCATCTAGGGGCTGTCAGCTGGAGGGAGGGAAAGTATTGAGTGCCCACCTGTGTGAAGTGCCTGCTGGCCAGGATGTCTCATTCCCAGCTCTCCCCCAAGTGGGGTGAGAGGAAGAGGTCTCTGGGAGGGATAGAGACACAGTGCACCCTAGCAGCTGGGGTCACCTTCTCAGCCAGATTTCTGAAAGACCATCCTTAAAATCAAAGGCTTGGGAATCACACAACCCTGGGTTCCAGTCCTGCTACCCCCACCGATTCATGGCATGATTTGGGCAGGTCATCTTACTTCTCTGACCCTTGGTTGTCCCTCTGTGAAGTGCGGCTAATGACACCTTCCTCAGAGGGTGAACATTCAATGAAGTGACTGACGAGCGTCCTGAGAAGGAGCTCCACAGTCACGTGGGGTGCACATGAATGAAAGGCTCGGGACAGAAGGCTTCAGATCTGCAGGCCAGGCGAAGCACGGGGCAGGCCACTTCCCTTGCTGAATAAGGCTAATAATTCACGAGCCACCAGGTGGTAGAAAGACTTAGTGGGAGCATTTAATAGCCTTATGCACAGTAGGGCCTCTCAAGGCAGGTGCCCTGAATCTGAGAGGTGTGGCTCAGACCCAGTGTTGGGTGGCAGATCAAGCAGACCCCTAGAGTATGGGCTTGGAGGCAGAGATAGTGGGCGGGGCCTGGGGGAGGGCAGGAATCGGGGCTCCTGGTGAGGTGATGGGGAGTAGCATGTCCTCCAGGCTTCACATCTTCCCAGGGGTCAGGCTGTCAAGGAGGAGGCGTCATCTTGCCTGTCATCTGGCTTGGGAGTAAAAGGGTTAATGGGTGGTACCTGGTTGCTGGGTTCGCAGGAGAGGTAGAGGGCAGTGCTTGCAGCAGGAGGGACTGAGGTTAGATCAGAAGACACGAAGCCAGGGAGGCTCTGGGATGGCCTTGGTAGATGAGCAGTGGCTGGCTCAGGGCAGGGCTGGGTAGGGCAGGGACATGATGACCCTTGGCTTGCCTGTCAGCCTCTCTGTGGGCTGTGTGTGTGTGTGTGTGTGTGTGTGTGTGTGTCTTCGTGTCTTTTAGTATGACGATAGCAGGGATAGCCGGCCTCATTCACACTGCAGATGGTGAATTGTGGGGTGTGTGCGTGGGTGTCTCCTGGCATCTCCTCTGAGGAGTCCCTCTTCTGACAGACCAAGTGACCAGGACTCTGAGGGACATCTGCCTTTAAGGCCATCTCAGCTACTGAGTGTGTGAGGATCCTAGAAAGTTTTGGAGTGTGAGGATCCTAGAAATTTTAGCTTTTGAAACATGTTCTTTTAAAAGTCCAGGGCTGGAAGGAATCTTAGATGTTAGTCTTATTAGAATACTCCCAGTGATGGGAGACCACTACTTCGAGGCTGTGTGACCTTGTGAAAGTTACCTAACCTTTCTGTGCCTTAGTTTCCACCTCTTTAAAATGGAGAGAATGAGAGAATGGAAGGGCTGTGTTTGGAAAGCTTTTCGCCCAGTAGCTGGTACTTACTAAGTACCCAACAGATGTTGAGTTTCTTGTTCTTTTACAAAGTTGCTGTAATGTGTTTGGGAAGGTGGGAGGGATGGGGAGTGGAAGGGTGGGAGGGGTGTGTGTGTGTGTGTGTGTGTGTGTATGTGTGTGTGAGTGTGTGTGTATGTGTGTGTATGTGTGTGTGTATGTGTGTGTGTGAGTGTATGTGTATGTGTGTGTGTATCTGTGTGTGTGTGAGTGTGTGTGTATGTGTGTGTATGTGTGTGTGTGAGTGTGTGTGTGTGTGAGAGTGTGTGTGTATGTGTGTGTGTATGTGTGTGTGAGTGTGTGTGTATGTGTGTGTATGTGTGTGTGTGTGCATGTGTGTGTGTATGTGTGTGTGAGTGTGTGTGTGTATGTGTGTGTGTGTGTGTGTGTGTGTAGAGGGGGTGGGGGGATTAGTAGGGAATCCTTTTGAAGTCCCAGCGCCAGGCCCAGTGGTTCCTGCTCCCTCCACATCCTGTTTTCAGTCATCCCTGCTTTTCTCCCCTCTGGGTTCCCCTGGGTGACTGTGAGCCTTGGGTTGCCGGGATGAGTGTCCTCACCAGAACATGGCAAGTTGGGGGCCCCTGGGCTGTTCCGGGCTACGCCCTCGGGTGAACCATCTCTCCTTGCAGCATCTGGGGGACAGACACAGGGTACCACAGGTGTGCGTTGCCTGTTAGCTCCAAGGTAGCAGGGCCTCTGGGTATAGACACCTACTATGTGATTTCTGGTAAGGGATTTCTCTCTGTCTCAAAGTCCTTGTCTGTAAAATGGGGACAGTAACAGTGACAGCCTCACAGGAATGTTGTGATTTGGAAATGAGCTGCTTTGGTAGACCGAGCACACCTGCTACATAGTGAGCTCTCAGGAGATGGAACCTTCCTAGGAGGGAGCATGGATGGGGTCAGGGAAGGCTTCCTGGAGGAGGAGGGTTTTGAACTAAGCAATGAAAATGATCATCACATGACACTAGCAGGCTATAGCCTGCCCTAACCCTCAGCTTTCTTACCTGTCAACTGGGGGCAAATACTTGGCTTTTAGAACCATTACTTGGTCGGGGGGTGGGTGTGACACTATCCTCATGGCATGATTAGGGCTTGAACCTGAAGCCTCCTGCTCTCTGCGGAGGAGTGAGCACAGTGCCTCCAGCTGTGAGTTCGTTGTTGGGGGTTGGTGTGAAGTGAACCGTGCTGGAGACAAAAGTGAAAGAAAACAACAAATGAAAAACAAAAAATGGCCTTTTGAAATCCAGTGGCTCCTCCCACCTCATAGAATGGGGCGTAGAGTCCCTGGGGGGTCCTGGACAGCAGGAGTGGTGGCAGTGGTGGGAAGAGTGAGTGGGGCTTATCCCAAGGGGCAGAGAGGTCACATTTCCAGAGAGGCCCGTCCACCAAGCACTTTACATGTATTGGCTTATTTCATCCTCATAATCTTTTGATGTGGGAATTATTAGAACCTCCATTTTATTTAATTTATTTCTTTAGAGACAGAGTCTCACTCTGTTGCCTAGGCTGGACTGCGGTGGTGTGATCTTGGCTCACTGCAACTCCTGCTTCCTGAGTTGAAGCCATTCTCCTGCCTCAGCCTCACAAGTAACTGGAATTCCAGGCACATGACACCAGGCCCGCCTAATTTTTGTATTTTTAGTAGAGATGGGATTTCACCATGTTGCCCAGGCTGGTCTTGAACTCCTGACCTCAGGTGATCTGGCCACCTAGGCCCCCCTAAAGTGCTGGGATTACAGTCGTGAGCTACAGTGCCCTGCCAGATCCCCATTTTACAGATGAGAAAACTGCGGCACAGAGAGGCCTCAGTGACTTGCTCAAAGTCACACAACCAGAAGTAGCAGAGCTGGTTTGAGCTAGGGCCTCATGGGCTAGTAGGACTGGGCTGTGGTCCTAAATCTACCCCCTCTTGCTGATCTTAGGCAAGCAGCTTCACCTCTCTGGGGTCTCCCTGCCCCTCAGATCATGTCTGCATTAGCTGCTGTTTAGTAAGTGCCTGCCTTTGTGTGTGGGGTCCCATATCTTTTCTCACTTAATTCTCCCATAGCCCTGGAGGTCGGTGATGCTGCCTCACCGTGCGGGAGGGATTGGCCAGGGCTCTTCCTCCT